GTTTTAAGAGAAACAAGGGGACTTGGGATAAGTCTAAAAATGACTTAATTGACAATCTAATAACAGTACTGTGACAATAACCTAGTGACAATCTAAGACCAGTACTGTGGCAGTGACCTAGTGACAATCTAGGACCAGAACTGTGACAGTGATCTAGTGACAATCTAAGAGCAGTACTGTGAAAGTAAACTAGAGAATGGATATGAAAGCAGATAACACAAGATTAACATGAATATTGTTTCTATTTTTAGATTTCTTAAACATGGAGGATGTGACGTAGTGAGTGAACTGAGCTTCCATCAGTAAGTTGCGTAATGTCTACTGACCTCTCCATGTTATGTTGATCTACGTCATGTCTACGGACCTTCCATCATTAAATTGTTCTATGGGATGTCTGACTCCATCATTGTGTTGTTCTATGTGATATCTACTGACTATCTATTGTTATGTTGTTCTATGTGATATCTACTGTCTAATGTTATGTTGTACCATGTGCCGTCTAATGACTTTCCCCTCATTAAGATGTTCTTTGCGATGTCTAATGACGTTCCAGTACTATGTTTATCTATGTGATGCCTGCTGATATTAAATTGTCCTATGGGATATTCACTGAATGTCCATCGGTAACTTAGTAAGCTGTTCTGTATGTCTTTCTTGACTTACCTTTCACCAGTAAGTTGTAGGACATGCCCGACTATTTACTACTGAGTTCACTGAAGCCGAACCTACAATGATATTATCTGATTTTATCACTTTTGTTGATGTAGTTCACGATTACTGATCATGTATCCAAGTTTTCGTAAACAACCGTGTGCTAAAAACAATCCAGCATCAAACTGTCGTCCAACTTGTATGTAGTTTGGATCATTAAAAAATGTGTAGTTACCTTTTCAACAGGGGTTCCCAAAGTGTGCACCGTGGTGCCATGTGGAGCCGAGGTTTCTCGAAGGGGCCATGTGATGTATCACAAAGTCTTCACAATTTTAAAATCATTTATATGTCCGACGCTTGGACCACGGCGCGGCTGTCATTGGACAACGGCGCGGCTGTCATTGGACAACGGCGCGGCTGTCATTGGACAACGGCGCGGCTGTCATTGGACTACGGCGCGGCTGTCATTGGACAACGGCGCGGCTGTCATTGGACCACGGCGCGGCTGTCATTGGACAACGAAGCGGCTGTCATTGGACAACATGGAATACGGCGCGGCTGTCATTGGACAACGGCGCGGCTGTCATTGGACCACGGCGCGGCTGTCATTGGACAACGAAGCGGCTGTCATTGGACAACGGCGCGGCTGTCATTGGACAACGGCGCGGCTGTCAAAGGAAAGGTGCACGCTCTTGAATGGCCCGAGAATTAATGTGGAGACGAAACAATGAAGGTAGCTGTATCCAGTTGGATACCGAGATTTGAGAAAATGTGCTCATCCATCCCAAAATGTCAAATTGGTTGTATTTGTTAATATATATATTTGTGGACTTGAATATTTTTTACTTTTCATTTTTACGAATTTCTCTAACAGAATCCTTGGATTTTTAACGATAAATAAGAAGTGATTCGTTAAACATTGTCAGTTGTAATAAGTTTGTGATAGGTTCGTTCCGGTTGGTTCCTCGGTGACCTTGAAGTTCGGGCTCGGCGCAGTCGTCACCAGGAGTCGAGTTCGATGCTTTCGGTTCGATTCCCATCTCTATATTTTATCCACATTCGATAACAATGGAGCTAGGCTAACAAATACCATTGTCGTCTGACACAATCTTAACTTAAACAGCCCCGGATGTGAGACAACTATTTTCTTTTGCAGTTGTTGTTTTTTTAACTTTTAGTTTTAGCCACGCCATCAACACAGGATGCTCTCCCTGACCTCAAGAGTAGGTGAATCTTTGTAGAGTGTTTTGTTTCTCAAACATCTCTTTGTCGTAGATACTACATGGACGGGAAGACGGCGAGGGCCAGCCATTTCCTCAAGCCGTCCATAATGGATCTTCTGGAGAAAGAGCTGAAGCTGGCCCGCCACCTGAAGAGAAAGTTTGTTTGCGACAAACCTTACCGGATAACGGAGACGGCGTCATGCTGGGGCGGTGGCGCCCCGGACATCTCGGACCGTTTCACGGCTGGATTTCTGTAGGTATTGTGCCAGGGCCGAGCAAAGGGTAAGCTGAGCCGGGGCGAAGGGTGAAAATTGCACCCCACCCCCACACACACACGCTTTTTTTCCACCAATAAATGAAGTTGGTTTCTATCTGATCGTCTATTTATAGCTACAATTGGAAAAAAAGTGTGTGGGGGGGGGAGGATAACTTCATTTAATAAAGTTAACATTGAAAAATGTTATAATGAACTATGTCTCATTGTGCGCACTAGTGTGCATACATATTATTCACAGACACTTAAACACACATTATTCATAGATACCCTGACATGTTCTAAACACATATTATTCATAGATATGTTGATATGTTTTTAACATATCCGGTTATTCATGGATATTTTCATATGTTTTAAACGCACATTATTTCGTAGATACCCTGACATGTTTTAAACACATATTAATCATGGATATTTTGATATGTTTTAAACACACATTATTTCATAGATCCCCTGACATGTTTTAAACACATATTAACCATGGATATTTTGATATGTTTTAAACACACATTATTCATAGATACCCTGACATGTTTTAAACACATATTAACCATGGATATTTTGATATGTTTTAAACACACATTATTCATAAATACCCTGACATGTCTTAAACACACATTATTTCATAGATACCCTGACATGTTTTAAATACACACTGTTCGTAATTACCTTGACATGTTTGCTGCATCGTAAGTCGTACTTGATACTCTTAATAACGACCAATTGCGAAGACAGTCAACACCAATGCATGTTTCTTCAGTAACTGCTTGTCGTTTACTCAGGTGGCTGGATAAGTTGGGGCTGGCGGCTCGCTACAAGGTGACCATCGTCAACAGGCAAACTTTCTTTGGGGCCAACTACGGACTGCTGACGAGGAACGAGGCCATGCCAACACCAGTACGTCGTTCATTGGTTCAGCTGGACAGCAAGGGCCCCCGTTAGCTTGTTGTTCATAGGTTCAGCTAGACAGCAAGGGCCCCGTTAGCTTGTTGTTCATTGGTTCAGCTAGACAGCAAGGGCCCCGTTAGCTTGTTGTTCATTGGTTCAGCTAGACAGCCAGGGCCCGGTTAGCTTGTTGTCCATTGGTTTAGCTAGACAGCAAGGGCCCCGTAGGCCATGCCAACACCAGTACGTCGTTCATTGGTTCAGCTGGACAGCAAGGGCCCCCGTTAGCTTGTTGTTCATAGGTTCAGCTAGACGGCAAGGGCCCCGTTAGCTTGTTGTTCATTGGTTCAGCTAGACAGCAAGGGCCCCGTTAGCTTGTTGTTCATTGGTTCAGCTAGACAGCCAGGGCCCGGTTAGCTTGTTGCCCATTGGTTTAGCTAGACAGCAAGGGCCCCGTTAGCTTGTTGTTCATTGGTTCAGCTAGACAACAAGGGCCCGTTAGCTTGTTGTTCATTGGTTCAGCTGGACAACAAGGGCCCGTTAGCTAGTTGTTCATTGGTCAAGTTAGACACTAAGGGACATTCACTTGAAATTAGCGATTAGGGTTTGAGTATATAAATTATGGTTTGAGAACCGATAGAACAATTAGATTGAGGATGTTTAATTTAAATATATCTTAGATGCAAGTAGGACGTCACACATAAATAGAGGGACCATTAATTGAACACCGGCGTAAATATTTGGCTTTTCTTTCCTTCAAATTCTCAACATTTTTTTAAAATTATGATTATGAAGCGCCGATCACGTTTGAGGACCAATAAATTATGTTAAATATGTAAGTGCTATGTTAGTGTTCAGACAGCAAAGACTTGACTATTGAAGTAATATACTTTCCTTATAGAGGTAGGATATGTGACGTCATATACTCATCTGTTGGAGGTAGGACTAGTGACGTATTATACTCGCCTTTCGGAGGTAGGCCTTGCCGCGCAATAAACGGACTCGATGGAGGAATGGTGTGTGACGTAAGTTACTCAGGTTTTGGAGTAGATTTCGCGACGTAACATACTCCACCTGGTGGAGGTAGAACTTGCTACGAAAAAGTTAATGCGCACGGTTTGCAATCCATAGGTATGTTTCAGATACTGTGTTCGATAACTCTCAGATTTTTTCTCTTCGATCTCCGTTCCAGTGTTACTACCTGTCCGTGCTATTCAAGAGATTGGTGGAAGGTCCTGTGTTCAAGGTCAGCACCCCAAGCGATGACCTAAGGGTGTACGCCAACTGCGCCAGCCCCACTCTGTAAGTGTATAAGGTCGCCTTACGAAGTGTTGACCAAAAACTGGACGAGACACCACTGTCTTCATCCATCGGTGTCGAGACACCACTGTCTTCATCCATAGGCATTGTTCGTTCGTTCCGCCCGATTGAAAATAATCGAGTGATTTGAATATTTGATATGCAAACAGTCACATGATTCTGATTCAAATATCAAATGTTCTTTTTTTTTTAAAATAAATAAATATTTGTCAGCTTTTTAAACGTCATGTGAAGTGTTGTATCTTATTTCAAACCTACTAAGGCTTAAAACGTGTTGAGACTTTTCTTAAAGACTGGGGACAGGGGCCTGTGAAGTTGGTGGATGTAGGGCGATCGCCTGCGCAAAAATCTTAAATTATTATATTTACATATATATAGTTTAATGGTACAGCGATTCCATGATGGTATGGGGGCCATGGTTCGGGAATAGGGGGTGGGGGGTTAGGGGAGGGAGGGGGGTTGAGACCTCTAAATCATTCAGTGCGGCTTATGGCCTCACACAAGGTGGTGTCCTGGGCCCAAACATAGCTGTTCATTTTATCCATCGTTCTCCAGCTATCCGCCTGATCCCATTGTTCACTATATCCCTTGTTCTCCAGCTATCCACCTGGTCCCGTTGTTCACTATATCCATCGTTCTCCAGCTATCCACCTGGTGCTGTTGTTATTTATTACGTGAATGTCAGAAAGGAGAACCGCATCGTGTCACTGCCACAGTTTGAGAACCTCACCATGCACATTTATATTTTGACAGCTGGCGACGAGGACGGATTAAGATCCAGGTATGGTGTCAATGTGCGTGTCCAGGTATGGTGTAAGTGTGCGTGTCCAGGTATGGTGTCAATGTGCGTGTCCAGGTATGGTGTCAGTGTGCGTGTCCAGGTATGGTGTGAATGTGCGTGTCCAGGTACGGTGTCAATGTGCGTGTCCAGGTACGGTGTCAGTGTGCGTGTCCAGGTACGGTGTCAGTGTGCGTGTCCAGGTATGGTGTCAATGTGCGTGTCCAGGTATGGTGTCAGTGTGCGTGTCCAGGTATGGTGTCAGTGTGCGTGTCCAGGTATGGTGCCAATGGGCGTGTCCAGGTATGGTGTCATTGTGCGTGTCCAGGTATGGTGTGAATGTGCGTATCCAGGTACGGTGTCAGTGTGCATAAGGTAGGGTGTCAGTGTGCGTGTCCAGGTATGGTGTCAATGTGCGTGTCCAGGTATGGTGTCAGTGTGCGTGTCCAGGTATGGTGTCAGTGTGCGTGTCCAGGTATGGTGTCAATGGGCGTGTCCAGGTATGGTGTCATTGTGCGTGTCCAGGTATGGTGTGAATGTGCGTATCCAGGTACGGTGTCAGTGTGCATGTCCAGGTACGGTGTCAGTGTGCGTGTCCAGGTATGGTGTCATTGTGCGTGTCCAGGTACGGCGTCAGTGTGCGTGTTCCAGGTAAGGTGTCAGTGTGCGTGTCCAGGTACGGTGTCAGTGTGCGTGTTCCAGGTATGGTGTCAGTGTGCGTGTCCAGGTATGGTGTCAGTGTGCGTGTTCCAGGTATGGTGTCCTAAATCCTAATGACTTTGTTATTTTTCGCCGACAGCTACGTCAAGTTGAATGGCCGACGCCTGCGGATGGACGGTGACACGCTCCCCGAGATGAAACCAAAAGAGGTCACCGGCGTCACAGTGGCGTCACAGAGCTACGGGTTCATCGTGCTCCCGCAGGCCAAGCTGCCGTTGTGCTCCCAGTTCTTCCATAAGCGCCTCACCACGCCGGGTAGGAAACACAAAGTAACAGAGAGAAAGAAGAACAGTTTCAAGGGACATCAATCTACCCGAACGGTGCTCACCCTTGCATTCGCCGTTTTGATATTTCATCCATTCGCCGCGTTTTGACATTAATCAATACATAATATCCCTCACCGAATAAATTGTTTTTTTCAGACTTGTTTATGTAATTATGTATTTTTCATTGTAATTGAAACTTATTTTCACAAGGGAACTCTTGTCCACGGGTCGGGGGGGGGGGG